TCTCGACGCAGCCCTTGTGGAACACGTGCCCACACAGCAACCGGTTGACCACCGACTCCGCCTCGAAGCGGGCGAGGCAAACCCTGCAGTCCACCGCCACGTGTCTCCTCCGGCCGAACCTGGCCGGCTTGAACCGGGACCTGAACTGCTCGGTGAGCGTCGGCTCACAGCAATCCTCAGCCGCCGCCGGCTCAGATCCGGGTTCAACCGGCGACAAGGCTCGAATCCCGAGGAATTTGAGGACCGAGTTGAGGATCTGCTTCATGATGGCGATCGACATCACCGTGTTGACTACCAGCACCGTCAGCACGCCCTCCGATGGCGTCGGCAAGCTCGAAAGCCCCATCTTTCCTAATAAATTTTCTCGAAATTTCGATTATTTTTTCCCCTCAGATCTAATTGAAGGAGGAGGAGGAGAAATGGAATGAAGAGAGCAGAGGAGGAGGAGGAGAGAGATGTTTTGGGGGCATTTATAGAGGTCAGTGGTTTGGCTTAATTATTGCACCAGGGTTCGGTCTTGTGATTATTTATTTTAGTAACCTTATCATGTAAGTTTTCATTTATTTATGAGCTTTGTTACATGGACCCAAAATATAGCACCAACGGGGGGATATGTGAGGTGTCCTGCGCCTATTGCATAATAAGCTGGCCATCATTAAGACCAACAAGGGGGAACAGGTAAGGTGTCCCCCTCCTATTGCATAACGAGATGACCAGCTCATTATGCAATAGGAGGGAGACACCTCATATGCCCTCTATGTCCTCCTGTTGGTTTCATATTTTGAGTCCTTGGAGAAATTTTCTTTATTTATTATTGTATTGGAGTTTTTATTAAATGTTAGTGATAGAGCTTTCTTCATGTGATTCTAAAGTTGGTGATGATGTGAGATTTAGCTGCCGCATACTTGTATTTTAATCCCCACTTGGGGTATTGCTTGTAAAGTATATGAGAGTTGAGGATTATGTAAGTTAGAGAGGCACTAGAGGCACACTCTCCACCACACCTCTAACCACACCTCCCCTCCTATTACAGTGCACCGGGGCCCACTTGATATTTAAAATTTAAATCTCAAGTGGGCCCCGGTGTACTGTAGCAGGAGGGGAAGTGTGGTTGGAGGTGTGGTGGAGAGTGTGCCTCTATCATTTCTCTGTAAGTTATAGTTTGATTTGGCTTGCTTGAAGCTACATAGTGGTTCTTTGTATCTTGTTGTTTGCCAAATTATACAAAAGCCTTTTTTTTTTGAATTATAAGTTCTAGATTAAATAAGGGTAAAATTACAATTAATTTTTTTCATCTATATTATGTTTTCCAAAAGAAACACATTTAATTAATAAGTTCAACCGGAAACCACAGCATGATTGTTGAAGAAATGTTAGATTTATGGCTAGTTTTGATTTCGAGACGTTTAGACGGGTGTCTGCAGTTGAACAAACATCTACATTTTAGAGCTTTCATTAGACAAAGTTGCTTAATTTATTTATTTTTTATTTTTTAAATTTATTAATTAGTAACTTTTGCCTCCATCCGTAAGGTAAAAAAAAAAGGAACTTAATACACCAATAAACATTTGGTTTTAAATTTTTTATAATGCAATTGAACCTATAATCAAGATTTGAAGCATACAATAATGCTAACTCAAACTTGATAGGGAGACGCTACAGGCACATCCTCGGGCACACCTCCGACCACACAAAAAAATCTCAAGTGGGGCCCCTGCACTGTAGCTAGAGGGGGGTGTGGTCGGAGGTATGACCAAGAATCTCAAGTAAGGTCCATGAACTGTAGCTAGAGGGGGGGTGTGGTCGGAGGTGTGCTCATCGGGTGTGCCATATCATTTTTCAACTTGATATACTAGCACCAAGAACCATACATTTCCACGCGGTTCAAAACTCTTTAACACCTCTTTATATGGACGTGGACGTGTGGGCCCCCTCTTATCCAAGAAACGTATCCCGTGTATAGAGTCCACATATAGTACTGTCGTAAAATAAATGTTTCTAAACCAAACTTATGTGCAATAAAAAGTAAATTAAGAAGTGATGCATACATATACTAATTGAAACGTATTACGTTAAAGAAAATTATGGCTCTAATTTGTCAATTACATTCCTTCTTAAGCGTGTTCTTCTCATTTAGCACGTCATATCTAATTATTTTGTTTAATTTGGGAGACATAATTGTCATCTTTCGAATAAGTTTAATATGTTGCATTCAGGATGTTCATGATTAATTGTCTTTTATATTGACGTGTTGCATTTCGCTTAAAAACTCCGGCACGCATCTCCATCTATCACTATCAATATCAAAGATATTAGCATGAGAACATTCACTGATTTATAATAACTAGTTGAGATACACGTACAATGCACGTGGTTGAATATCATGAGTTAAGATGCACGTGCAATGCACGTGGTTGAATATCATGATTATTTAAATTAATAAAAATAGAGAAAAAAATAAAGTTTTTTTGTGAAAATGATCATCAACTCAATAATCATTCTCTCAAATAAAATATTATCATTGTTTCCTTCAACACAGACTGTGGCTCTACTATTTGTAAATTATAAACACATTAATTTAGTACAACATCTCTATTTATTAGTATCTTAAAGTCTTTAAAAGATGGGTGATCATTCAATTCGTAAAAGAATTTTGCATATGAATTTACTTGCAATATGTCCATTAAACTTTTAGCTGTGGGTTGATTCATATTCATTTTAATTTTAGTTGATGTTTTACTCATATTTATATTATCTAATATTCTCATTCAATTTTATAATTCATTCTCTGTATCATAGAAGTAAAACTAAAAGTATAAAAAATTATTTTCTTACGAAATTAGAACAGGAAGATTATGATATATTTCGCCATGTGTTATAAATATAAAAAAATCATTGATGCAAGGTCTCTATCAAATCTTACCCCAAACGATGTGAATGAAAAATGCTATTATAACAACACTTGTCTAGGATAATTGTATTGTATATAGGATACATAACTCATCTAGAATATTAATATCTCCTAAGTGAATTTTGCTGTTGAGAGAGCAACAAGTTAGAGGCTCGTATTCAAACTTTTTGGCTCCATAAAAGACACAAATATTTAGAGTACGTAGCTTATATATCGTAAAAAGCATATCGATTCATAAAGAATTTTTTCTAATAATGATATTACTATTCAATATTAAATTAATTTTATTATATAATATTATATGACCATTTTTAATAAATTATAAAATATATATATATGAAAACCTCGATACTTATAGCCAGTAGTTAGGCTTCACAAAATAGGTTAACTTTACATTGTAGTTTTCTATTTATAGTATTGTTGGCAATGTCATTACCTTTCCTCTTTATCTTATTATTCACACTTTTCTGATGTAAGTTCTTTTTTGCTAATCATTCAATTGGTTATATTTAATTTTTATAATATCAGAGGTTAGAAAATTCTCTTCTATTTAAAAATATTAACATGATTTTCTTAAAAAATATATACATATAGCAATAATAGTATATACTTCAGTGTAACTCAAACATTAGCTTCAAAGTCATTTAGAGTGAGGTCATTTCTATGTTAGAATGATGATATAGTGATTACACAGTCTAAAAGTCAAAGAAGAAATTTCTACAAAGGAAAAGTAATTTAATATGTCAAACTAAGAACTAATTTAAAATATACGTAGGCAGTGCAGATAGCTATAGAAAGTAAGGTATATATATTTATAAAAATTTTATAGTGAGTCACTAACTACAATCATCCTAATTTAAGCATAAATAATTATTATTTTATTTACTAATTTGATAAGTGTAACTATGGAATAAATCTCCAGCAAAAAATAGGAATTAAGATTGTATTATGTTATAGGTAAATAAATAAATGTTATTAGAGCTCCTCTTTATATTGAATTTAAAATTAATAATTTAATTTATTTAGCTCCAAATGTTAGTTCATGTGAGAAAGTAAAGTAATCTATGGCCTATATACGTATATAGTCAATCAATCAAACATATTGAAATTATAATGACCACAGTCAAAATTATATAGTGGGTTCACATTAAATATAATTTATAAAAAATAGTACATTAAAGTCAAAATCTTTTTAATTACTACATACATTGTCTGAAATTTTTTACATATATAAACTATATTGTCTAGGAATAGTGATGTGCACACTTAACTATAGTCTAATAATCTTAAGAACGACTTATTCTTCTATATCATCATTAATTGATTTATATGTGTATTACACTAAAAATAAAATGAAAATTTAGAAAACTATAAAATAAACACCCTTAAAAGTTTTAAAAGTGTTAAAAAATACTCTAAAATTTATAATTTACAAATACACAAAACTATTAAACAATACATTGAATCAAGGAATTACAAAAAAATTATTAAAAAATTTCAAACTTTGGAGGGGTAATTTGCAATGTACTAAACTTTTAAGGATATTTTTTATAAATTTTAAATTTAATAGATTTATAATTAGTTATGTTATTTTCAAAAAAATTATGGGTAATATTTACCATGAAAATATTTTTCTAAACCTATACTTTTAAAAGGTGTATGATATTTTTTGCAAAATTTATTTTTTAGGGGTTGTTAGTAATTTTGCATATTCATTTTAGTGTCTATAGGTTAGAAATTCTCATAAAGTTTTTTTTATAAATTATAAATTTTTAGGACTTTTTATAATTTTTTAAACTTATAGGCATTTTCTACAGATTGTAAATTGTTTATAAACTATTAATACTTCATATGATTTCAATTTACTAATGAATTTGAAAATTTTAGGGTGTTTTTTATAAATTTTAAATATTTATTTGTAATTTTTAAAACTTTAAGGGTGTTTTTATAAATTATAAATTATGTAGGGGATATTTATAATTCCTATATTTTTAATGTATTGTTAGTATTTTATAATTTTGAGTGTTTTATTTTGTAATTTGTAAAAAATTTAGAGTGTGTATTGCAAATTCCATAAAATTTTGGGGGTTGTTTGTGTTATTTGTAGGTTTTTAGTATGTTTATAAGTTTGACATTTTAAGGTATTTTTTATAAATTTTAAACTTTTAGGGGTATTTTTATAATTTATAAAACTTACAAGATATTTTCTTCAAAGTAAAAAAACTTTTAGTTTCTAATTAGCATATATTTTTTGGATTTCTCACTAAATTGAGATAAGTAAAATTTATAATTTTTAATATGCTTTAATAAAATTTTGAATTTGTAGGGGCTTTTTTGTAATCTAAAAAACTTGGAGAATATTTTTTTACAAAGTCCAAAAACTTTTAGTTATTTCCTAGTATATATTTTTTAGAGTTCTCTACGAACTAAAATAAGTAAATGATTTGAATTTTATGAAACGTATCTATTTTATCGAATAACATATTAAGTCTTATTATGAATAGAATAAATCATTTGGTTGACAATTTAAAGAAGATAAGATAATTAGAATAGAT